GGTATCGGCGAGTACTGAAATGCAAGTACTCGTACCCGTACCCAAAAAAGTGGTATCGGTGCATCCCTAGTTCATATAAGAGTTTCAATCTGACATTTGCAACTTTTGGCCAAAATAGCACAAATTACCTTTGAACCTCTAAAAGCTGCACTTCACAGTAAAAGCCAAGAAGCTGTGAATGGCAGCACGATTTTAAGATTTTCATGGAAACCTGAATAGCTTGTGGGTGTTATACAGCTTTTTTCCAAGTTGTAAAATGGCTGTATTCCATCCTCCTGCAGCACAGTAATTTCAATATCAGACACCCTTGAAAAAGAAATTACACACGCATACATCAGAGCAATCACACTTTTTTCACAGCAGTCTTCAACTTTCCAGAGGTGGAACATTTACCCCCCCCCCCTCAAAAAAAAAAAAAAAAAATGTATTAGATGTATTGCAAGCAATAAGACTTACAAGGACAGGCTGAAGGGAAAAAGTAGGAAAAAAATTCTTGAATTACTGTAACTCAAGAATATCTGACTCAGGTATAACTGAGGCATCATCTAAATTAGCACTGCCTGGAGGGGTGCTAAGCCATATGGATGAAGCCATGGTGTGGCTCATTAAGTCAATGATTCAATGGCCTTTTGATTCATGGCTTGTCAGGGTTAGGTAGCACCATTAGTGAGAATAAACAGAGGGTTGTACTAAGCACCGTGATGAGAGGCTGCAGGGAAGGAAAGGCAGCTAGGAATGAATTGATGCTGCATATGCTGCATTTTTTTTTCTTCCAGCTTTTGGCGTGTATGGAAATATTCATAATGGATGTTTCTGTGTACCTACACTCACCTTTTTGTCTTCAAATGCATTTTCAGTCTACATCGGCACAGAAAGGTGAAGATAACCACGGTTAATAACGGAATAATTTATAATACCTGGGAAACTACAAGAGGTTGATTCCACAAGGTGTTGTGGCAGAAAAAGGATTGCCTACCTTTTCTACTGGTGCATCCATCTTTGTGTGATGGGAATGTTTGTTTGTTTTTTTTATTAGAGATAAATAAAAGTAAAAAAAAAAGTCAAAAAACTTTTTTTCCCCCCTTTTTCAACCAGGCAAAAAATATGCATAAAAATCTAAATTCAACTATAAATACTGAAAGTTTTTCAAAGTGAAAAAATGTGTGATATTGATACCCACCTTCTCCATGTCAGACTATTGCATTAAAAAAGGGAAAATTGCAAAGAAAAAACAAGAATTAAAGGAAAGCAATAGCAGAAGACTCCGAAATGCTTTAACAGGGAACAGTTTTGCAGAGAACCAGGGAAAATGCCACTGGAAGATGGTGGAAATTCCCACCCCAATTGATGACACAAACTCAATCAACTCCACTATGATCACCACAAGGAACTGTTGTTGCAGTAGGACTGATTATGACTGCTGTTGCTGGGAGTAGGCACAGTACAATGGGGGAATAGGAGCACAAGAATGACTTGAAAGTGAATGAAGTTAAAACCATTCTGGACCGCAACAAACCTCAGCCTCTATTTTCTCCCTTACTTCCTCTTCCTCTTCCTCACTCTCCTCAAACTATGAGTGGTGGTTAAAAGACAACACACAAAATATGTAAGGCTCATCATTACCCGCCACACCATATTAAAAAAAAGAAAAAAAAGACTTTTCTTCCAAGTGAGTATATGCAGGCATGTAAACATGTATACATATACATTGGACTTGCCTCCCATTCTAATGTAGAGTTGAGCTAGAAAAAGAGAAAACAAAAGACATGACTTTGACTTTACTCTGTGCAAAGAAATAGATTTTCCATAATTACAGAAGTTCACTTCAATGAGTGAAGAGCTGAACTGGACTGTAAAAAACAGCGAGAGCTTTATTAGCCAACAAGCAAGAGAGTAATGGGTAAAATAAGCTAAAAAATATTCATATTAAGACTTTCCTAGTTAAAAAAAGAAATGTCTTTATTTTGATACCAACTTTGTGGTAATTTAAGTAAATGGGGCAGTAGCAATACCACATTTTGCTGTATTTAGCTTATCAGACAGTTAAGCTCAGTAGCTATCCATTGTTGCTTTCTTTCAATTGAATTTGTGGTAATTTGTTGTCGATAAGGTATTGCTAAATGGAATATTTATGATAAATTAATATTTTTTTTTTATTAACTGTTGATTTGTTATCACTATTATATTGGTTTTACAGTAAAATATCACATATTATTTATGTAATTGCATTAAGAGACATGAAGCAAAATACAAATACCTGTTATTTCTAGTCAATATTGTAAATAATCATAATAATTCATAATACAGGTTACCTGCCTATTATTACTACCACATGGGTTAAAGTAGGTGATAAAAAGGTGGTGGTAAATATGATTAGATTAGATGAAACTGTATTTATCCCTTGGGTGGGTTCCTCCGGGAAATTCTGTTTCCAGTAGCACAGCACTGACAGAAGTTGCAGAATGTGAGCAGAAATATACCATATATACACATGTATATATATCAATATAACAAATATAGCAAATCCCTCAGTGACCCATCACAGTCAAGGAATAAGATTTTGTAATAACATTATGCAAACTATTTTCCTTTTACTCAATATTCAGTGATGTAATTAATGGAAGTGCCAGTCTGAGACACCCGCACACACAGAGCATTCACTATGTTTCAGTTAATGCCTTTCATCGATGATTATGTTGAGGAATCACCCTAAAAATAAACACGACAATCAAACTACAAAAACAAACGCACCAACAAAGGTCAAGAACTGTAATCCATGCGCAACACGCACAGGCAAGTAGATGTGCACACACTAACAGCTACAGGCTAACACGTCATTAGACGCAAAGTTCACCAAAGCAGCTTGGAAGGAGACCACAATTAAAACGTTTGTAAAAGCAAACACAATAACACACTCAAATGACCTTAACCAAGCTGAATAGACTTACTTCAAAGAAGCTAACAAAGGCTAAAAGTAACTAGAGCCTTGTTATTTGTATCTTTTTTTTTTTTTACAACGTTTAACATCTTCTTACATTTCAAAAAGATTTTATAACAAAGAGAAGATGTTTCTGTTTGTATATGCTCAGTGATAGTTCTTAGAAAAAACAAATGGAATCAGCAGGTCACACTTATATTAAAAAAAGGAATCACCCCAAAATTGCAACTGATCTACAAGCTAAGGAAGCTAAATCAACATTCACTGTGACACACAGGGACTTTGAGAGGGTACTTCAGCTCTCTGCGTGATAAAGGAGGGTTGTGGACTACATAAGATTATGACACTACTGGTTTAAAGTAAATATTGCACAATGTAAACTACAGGCTAACAAGATTGAACTATGACATATTACAATAAATTTTATTATTGATTAGTTAAAGTCTAACTGCTGCAATCCACAATACCCACCGGAGCCTTTGCTTCATCCTCAATTGCAACCTGCTACTCAAGCCACAGCAGAAAGGAAATAATCAATACGGTGCTCCACAGCACACCATAAAAATGATTTAATTGTATTAGAAAGATGTACATTTATATGGATAAATATCCACCCTGACCAGACTATATTGGAACCGTACCTCTTCTTCTTCTTCCTCCTCTTCTATGATTTCATTTTGCTTCAATTGTAAAGTGAAAACATTTGGTTGAAATATAGGCTACAGCATCCCACAACTACCATCCTAAGATCACTCCAACAATACAAGTTAAATAAAAATTTTTTAAAAAGGGTTCCATATAGCTATGATACTGCATGCAGAAATGTTGTAGGGAATGAAGGCAGTGGGGAGGTAACAGCTAGGAGAAAAGCTATTGATTTTCAATGCTCTAGCTACAATATTGATATGGAGGACATGACTAAATTAAGTCTCTGCTTCAATACTCTGTCTATTAAGAAGCACAGGGCTAACCACTGTAACCACTGATCTAGGGCTACACTTTCACTGACAGCTTCACATCAGACATTAGGCATACAGATCTGAATATAAGATAATATTCAAAGCATAAGCAAATGCCACTATGTCACATCTTAACACATCCTAATCCAGTAACATTTGCCGTTTATTTTAAATGAGCTAAACTACTACTACTGTACGTACCAATGCTTCTTGTATTGCAATCTGACACATGAAAGACACAAATGCAACTGTTGTACAGCAAATTTAAAATGTAATTTCATGAATGACTGATGTTTTTCTTTTTTTCTACACGAGTGACGCTACCAATTTATTAACAAAACCGGATACCATCATGCATCATGTCTTCATATCCATCATATTTAGACTCACCTGTTTGGCACCCATTGACTCAAACATCTTTTCCAGCTGGATTCTTAACTGCTGAACATTATTCATTAATACACAGGGCTACAAGAAGACAGAGAGAGAGACATTAAGAGTGATTTTGTGATCTTTTTTATGTATCATGTCCAATGTAATAAATGTTTTTTCAGCACAATTGGCAGAATTGGCTGAAAAAAACATGGCAGAAATTGACAGGAAAAAAAAACTTACAATCTTCTCTTTGTCAATATAAGATGGAAAATTCTTGGTCAGCATGGCACTGTACTGCAGAAGAACTTTGGCAATTGTCTGTAAAGACAGGGAGAAATAAAGGCATCTAAATGGCATCTACAAAAAAAAAGCTATTTAAAATCAAATTTCTCTCTTATCTCTTCAAAGGGGGATAATATTGTACTTCGGGGGTTTCGCTAATCAACATAAATATTCCAAAATGTGATTTAATGTATTCTATAGCACGGAGACAAACAAATTCTAAAGTAGGACATTTTTCTCAGCAGCCTTTTCCACAGGAGGGAACTGTTATACCTAGTTCAACAATTCTTTTTAATCCAGCAATATAAAAATTCTCTTTTGCAAAAAGTCAAAATGTCCCACAAGACATTGCTATAGTGGTTTAATAGTTTTTTCCCCTCATATTTTGTGGTCATTTTTCAGAAACATTGGAAGTTAAAAGCAAGTCTTTATTAATTCTAGAATTGTTAAACACAAAGGCACACCATATTTCATGCAGCTCGATCAAGCTGGTTTGACTTTAAATGTCATCATCGGGTGGAGTACATTACCTTGGAAAAGCGGCAACTATACTGAGCCATGACCCTAGGATCAGGACATTCCAATTTCTTGATAATCTCAAAGCTCTGGTTGAGCTGGGTGAAGATGTCCACCACAGAGCAGGAGAACAGAGCATGCTCAGATGTCTGCTGGAACTGAGATGAGTACACAAATGACACTTACAACATCTACAAGTAGAATGTTAAATAACATCAACAAGATTTTAAAGCAGCTTTTTAATGTCCCCATGCTGATAGCATGGCTGTGTCTGTAAACACAAAGAAAACTTTTTTCAGTTCAGCACTATTTTAAATTAGAACCTCAAAGGTATCGTAGAGATATCACATCAAACGGTAAGTTCTAGTTTTCTTACTCCATCTTTTTTGTCTCTTTCCAGAGCTCCATGCATAAATTCCATAGATACTTCCTCATTTTCGTCCAACCACTGTAGCACAAACTGCACAAACCATCTATAAGTGAGAAATAAAGATTAGCAAATATGTTTGTTTTTTTTTAAACACAGTTCCTTTTATCTGAGTTTAGATGGATTATCAAAATCAAAAAAGGCAAGAACATTTGCCTTTTCTTGTGCCTGTCACTGAAAAAGTCAAATGCACTTACGATGGGTAGTCGGGTACAACACCCTTAAAGACTGGCAGCTCCTTGACATATTCATTGTAGAGCCACTTGACCTTGAAGTGCAGGTTCATGTAGTCTGTGCTCTTACACAGCCTGTGCTTCTCATGCTCTGCCGGTTTAAAAACATAAGGAGCCATATGAACTTAGGGATGTGAAGATTAAAGTCAACGTCCCCATTTTAGTTAAAGCTAATATAAGACAGCCAAAAGGTAAGGTGAAGCAATCATATGGTGCATATGGACATCTGGGTATTGTAACAAAACCTCAAAGAACCCCAATGCATACAACCCC